GAGAGAGAGAGAGAGAGAGAGAGAGAGAGAGAGAGAGAGAGAGAGAGAACCAGTAGCGGTAACGGAAATCCTTAAGCATGGCTGTGAAAGCACCCACGGCTCCCAAGCACGTGGGCAAGTACGTGGGTCAGGCACCAGCAAAGTCAGCGAGCCTCATGGGAATGGAAGAGTACGAGAAGCTAAGAAGGGAAGTTGAAGAGCTGAAGGCGAGGCGAAGGAACCAACAATTCCCACGTGAATCCGAAAGGAGCCACACGTTCGACCACGGGCTTGATGGTGCTGATGCTCGTTGTGGGGTGCCTCCCTTTCCTGACCAGCTTGCGGCAGGCACCACGGAGAAGGGAGGCCACGTGGACACACTGCAGGCTCTTTGCGCTTTACACGAAGAAGAGAAGAAGGTGGATCGTCTGCCCTGCCTTTCGTTCTTTCACTTGGCAAGCTGCCTTATGTCCTTCCCGGGATTGCAACCCCCCAGTACCACGACTGCATTTAGACGGGAACACGGTTTGTATTCGTCCACGGTGATGGCCCATCATGTTCGAGAAAACATGGTCTCTTGTCAACTACCATAGCTGCCATCTCTGAGACTTAACTTCTCGAGTGGCCTTACGTGGTGGCTGAATGCTGCTACACACGCAGAACTATATATATATATATATATGGCTGAATGCTGCTACACACGCAGAACATCTGTTGTGGGTGAATGATAGTCTACTTTGATTTTGGTTAAGGTAGATTATCACTTACAGTGTAATCAGTGAGGGGATTCTGCAGACTGTTGAGGGTTCAGCCTCCTGATGAGTCGGTGAAACTCCGACGAAACAGTTTGTCACAGCCCCTCGTTTGTTGTCCTCTTCTCTCTCTCTGCCTACGGTTTACCGGGCAGTTCTATTTGTGACGATATATATTATGCCCAGTAGGTCAGAGGTTCAAATCCTATAGAACGGTTCACAAGAGTGCTTGGCAGGTTCTAAACTTTTTCCTCAAGAAAAGAAACGGAAAACCGGACATAATCGTCAAGCCGGATTCGAAACCGATGGAAGGAAACATGGCAGCGTGACAGCGTCCTGTGTGACGTCTCTTAAAAATTGTGGACGTTACAGACAAAACAAACCAAAAAAAAAAAAAACAGAAGAAGATTAGCAGGCCCCGTGCAAGGATGACAGACACAAACCCAGAAATGGTCGAAATCAAAGGAAAAAAGAAAAAGAAAAAAGGAAGCCATCCTTCTCCGGCGTTCCAGCAGTCTCTGGGCCTCGCTCCGCTTGTCACCAGATGCACACAAGATAAGAAACATGGCGGTATATCTCCCTGTTCTCTGGCGGAAGATTCATTCTCATTTCTCATTTTGCACATTTGGATTGGTGAGTACTGGAGCGAGGCCATCTTCTTCTTCTTCTTCTTCTTCTTCTTTTTTTTTTTTTTTTTTTTTTTTTTTTTTTTTTTTGAGCGAGGCCATCTTGGAATTCTCTGGGTTTGCTGTAACAGCCCCTTCTTTACCGCCTTATGTCCAGGAGGTTCCGTCTACCTTCTTCCCCGGATAGAAGGTACGGCTATACCATGCTTTCTATGTGGGGCAAGAAGGTAACGCCCTCGTATATCCTTTTGTCCTTCCCTTTCCTCCTTCCCCCTCCCCCCTCCCCCCTCCCCTCTCCCCCCCTCTCCCCTCCCCTCTGCCTTTATCATAGCCGGCAAGCTACGGCAGGATGTGCTGCGGACAGACGTCATCCGGGTCCAGATGGGAGCACCTCCAAACTGACCCCGCTGCCTTCACCATTCCCCCCTATACTAGACCCCCATTACCGGGACCGAGGCGGCTGTTACAGAAAGCAGGGCTTTTGAATTGCCCATCCTATGGTAGTTCCAGATAGTATGTTTGGCGTCCGGGACAAGGTCCAACACTTGCCTGTATCCCGTGTTTCCGGCCCTACCCAGGTAGATTGGCTAAAGATCGATGGGCAGAACGGACGAATCCATATGACCTGTGGAATGTCAATGGGACTTTTCCTCGGGCGTGTGTGTGTGTGTGTGTGAGTGTGTGTGTGTGTGTGTGTGTGTGTGTGTGCTGTCTCTTATACACATCTAGATGTGTATAAGAGACATGTGTGTGTGTGTGTGTGTGTGTGTGAGAGAGAGAGAGAGAGAGAGAGAGAGAGAGAGAGAGAGAGAGAGAGAGAGAGAGAGAGAGAGAGAGAGAGAGAGAGAGAGAGAGAGCATGGCTGACTCACGATTGGTGATCTCTGCCGAGAAGAAAACGGGCGAATTGGATCAGGGCCGTTCATACACAGAACATCCAAGCAGGTGTGTGCTCTTTCCCCTCTCCTAGTAGTGGGCAATAGGAGTGGGAATTGGGGGTTCCTCCATGGGACAGGACAGGCCTGGGGTGGAAATTGGGGAGCCCTCTGGACCGGCTAGGGGTGGAAGTTGGGGGGTACTCTAGTGGTCAAGATAGTGCACGCAAGGGGGCAGGTGACGATCGTCTTCTACGACCATAACATCCCATCACGACTATGCACGTCTACGACCATAACATCCCATCACGACTATGGACGACAGGAAACCTGAAAGTTCTGAACCAGTCATTTGGTTAAAAGTTAAAGCAGACATTTTATATTTTTGGAATGAAATTGAAGCCTACTTATTTGGCCCTAAGAATGTCACCATCTGAAAGCCAAGTCCAGACGGACTCTTGGGAGCTAAAACACTGACATTTCTAGGGCCAAATAACTAGTTTTCAATTTTGTTCAAATTGGTTGGGCTTAAAGAATTAGCCTTTTAAAAAGAAAAGAAAAAATGAAATGTCCTTTTTAAACTTTAATGAAGTGTCCGTTATAAGCCTGTATACATTCATGATCAGGCTGCGCTCTGTTGAGGGAAGGTGGTAGGCACTCAATTGGACCAATGTATTTCATTCCAGCGCCTGGAAGTGCCAAGAGTAAAGACCCCAAGGGGGCACATTTCTTCTGGGCCAACGAGGACCTGCCCTTTATCACTTAGTATCCCTACTCTGACCGTCATTAGAGATTATGTGTAGGGGTAGGTTGTGTATAGATCCGGGTCATTGCCTGGTTGAAAGGGGGAGAGGGCTGGGGAGAGGGTGGTGACAGGGTGAGGAGGGGGAGAGGGGATGGGGGAGGCGATGTAGGTGATGGGTATGCAGGGGAGTGTATAAGAGGTGGGGGGGAGACATCTAGATGTGTATAAGAGACAGGTGTGTGAGAGAGAGAGAGAGAGAGAGAGAGAGAGAGAGAGAGAGAGAGAGAGAGAGAGAGCGAGAGAGAGAGAGAGAGAGAGAGAGAGAGAGCATGGCTGACTCACGATTGGTGATCTCTGCCGAGAAGAAAACGGGCGAATTGGATCAGGGCCGT